TCACAGCTGGTGAGCTGCGGGGACGGGTTTTTTTGGGGGGGGAAGGAGGAGGGGGGGTGGGGGGGTTCCCTGGCCGCGGGCGGGCGCCTGCCCCGTCCCGCCTCGGCGGCGGGTCGCCCCTCAGGGCTGAGGGGAGAAGGGCGGGAAAGCGCCGGCCTGGGCCGTAGCTGCCCTCCGGCCGCCGCCCGGGGCTGCTTTTTCTCTTTAATTCCTCTTCCCCCCCACCCCCCCAGGCGGAAAATCTGCTGTATCAGCTGCAGGAGAATTTTCAAGCCCTGACTGAAAAGATAACGCTGAGAAATATCCTCTTTCGAAGGCGGGTTAGGAGCTGCGCGGGAGAGGCGGCCTGCGCCTGCCGTTCCTCCCCCGGACCGGGCTCGGGGTGTGTGTGTGTCCCCCTCGGGCGTCGATGTAAAGAGGGGGTTTTGCTTTTTAACATCAAATTCAGATGCAGTGACTGGCGTTGCTGCACCCCTATGAAGTAAAGACGGCTGAATGCCCCCCCCCCCCCCAGTTTGTTTTTCCCCTCACCAAGAAGGAAATACTAAAAACGGTTTTACTAAAGGTCCTGTCAGCTCCCAGGGAGCTGGTCTCTGTGCAGCAATTCTGGCTTTCAAGTAAAACAAGCATTAAATTATGTGTAAAGATTTTGAAGGTATATTAACAAAGCAACCGTCTTCCAAAATGCCACTTAAATCAGCATATTGCTGTGCATTGTTGGTTTAAAACCAGCTGTTGGCTGGGAAGGCGAGCCCTCAAAAAGAGAAATTGAGACCTGAAGGGGCTCTGAGCTTTCTCATTAGATGTACTGACAGAAACTACCTCTGCTTTCTGAAACTGCAAATTTACTACACTTTCCATTTTTTATGAAACTCCACCTTTCAGGAAGCGGCTGCTTTAGTGTCAGAGAATAATGTTTTAGCAGCATTCGTATTCTGATTGTTTAGGTTGACTATATGGTATCACCTAAAATAGTCCCTTGGAAAGAAAGCAATCTCTCATGCAGAAAATACTCCAGTTCACTCATGGGCATACAGGAAGGCATTTGAAAATATTTAGAACTTGAATGCTTATCTGTTGCAAGAGACAGTGGGGTTGTCTTAATGCAACCTTGTGCATGCTTCATCCTGCATTAAACATGAATAAGTAAGAGGCTGAGACATCTGGAAGAAAGCTGCTTGTTTTTCTCACAGAAGAAAAAAACCCCACCTATAGAATTCTAGAATTCTTATTTATAAATAAGTTATCTTTAACTTTTTACTGGAAGAAATGGGCGAGCGCATTGATGACCTCGAGAAGCATGTTGCTGACCTGATGACAGAGGCTGGGATAGAAAACACTGATGAAGAGTTGAGAGTAAACAAACTTAATTTTTACTGTATTTTATGTACTTCCACTTAGTTTTGAACTATGGACAGCACCTAGCATGAAAATTATCATACCTGCATTCACTTGGATTTTAAAGTATACTGAGATTTAAAAAAAAAATATTTAAAACTACCTTGGCTTTCTTTTTGCCAAGAGCCAAAGAATGCTACCACTTTGAAAAACTGTAGCTTGCTACATCTCTTCCAGCTGAGTGCCACTACAAGGGGTAGCGCAAACTAATCCCAAACATGTAAACCAAGGCTGGACATTTGTAATAAAACGTGTGTGGCTTAAAGCACTCCCACCCACCATTCCTGTCCCTCAAGTATGCTAACCTAGCTGATTGAGGATTCCTGCTTGTCTAAATTTATGTACATCTGCTTTTAAACCTGGTTCAGCTTCCCAATGTGGCTCAGAGCACACCTCTTAAATACATTCACCCCGACCACAGCAGTAGTTCGTTCTCACAGCACTAAGATGGGGGATGGAAGGAACAAGGATAAGTTTAGTATTATTGTCAAACACTGTAATATAAAATCATGCTACAATTCAGGATTGTGTGCTAGATTTTAAGTCGCTATCTGTTGAAACTGCTACCCGCCCTGATGAATGCCTTAGTCAGTGTTCTTGGTATTTAGGAGACAGGATTGCTTCCCTGTTCTTGGGTGCAAGTGATGTAATCTTCCTGTTGTTTTGCGTTTTCCTGATTCAAACTGAGACACACCAATTATTCTTGTCATTTGGAGACTGCTCACACAGTGAAAAACAGGAATATCTGTAAATATATTGAGCTAATGTAGGCATCCATTCATTCAGATGCCTTTTTCATGATAAACTATGAAACAATTTTCAGAAGTATAGAAGTACAATCCATGAAAATGTATTTAACTGCACAGAGATCGTCCTACTTTTATGCTGAATCACATTCATGAATAATTAAACCACTAACCTACTTACGCACTGTTTCTTTGCAGCACTGAAATGAGGATGTGATCGAGAAAGATAAAGGGAGAACAGCACTGCACTGAATCTGGGAGTTTACAATCAACGTCACTAGTCACAAAAGCATTAGTGAAAACAAACATGCTTGCATCATGTCATGATAAAATCTAAATTTTTTTTTTTTCTAATTATTGCCCCAGGGAAAAAGGAGCAAGCTGGGTTTATTCATCTAAATGGGACACTGTATTTCCTGTAATTGGAAAAGAACTGTTAGTTTCAGGGAAGGCAAAACCCACTATTTTGGATAGAAAACTATATCCTATATAGTGAACTTAAGCAGTCACAAACTTTTTCAATGTATGAAAATGTATTTATTTCAGTAATATTAAATTTTTCATCATATTTCTGTGTTGCGTTTTTAACTTAAATGTTCTCAGATAACAAGATCCTTCTATGACAAAACTTTTCCATTTGCTTGTGCCATTTTGATGCTTCTTTAAATGTTTTACGTTACAAAATGCACCTTACCTTATTTGATGTTATTACAAAGGTGCCTTTGCAAAATTTCATAGGTCCAATGAAGATAAACTGTTCTGCACTAAAAGAAATAGCAGTATTTGCACAGATCACAGCTATTCAGTTGTTACTCTTTTCACAAGTCCACCCAAAGCTGTGCACACCTGTGCAGATAACATCATCAAGGTTTGCATAGTGCGCCAATTTCAGTTCTTTAACATTAGTCATTTTGATGAAAGAGCCTATTTTAAAGACTTGGAGATAGATAAGGAATTCCAGTTACTAAACGTGACCTAAGCAAGATGTGGTAGAGTCAAAGAAAACCAGACATCTGCACTAACTTTAAGGTTCTTGTACACCAAAACGTTGGCGCTTTTTGCAGGAAAGATTTTGTTTGAAACTTAACGGGAACCTCTTGCAAAAACTGAGGCATTACCAGGTAAATACCTCCGCTAATGAAGGATAAATATGCTTTTTAAAACTTTGGCAGGTGTTAATACTTCATGTCTATTACAGAGTCTTCATTAATATCAAGAAATCATTCTCATCAATGCTTTAATCAGTGTAGATTTGCAAGCAATGTCAAACTGGGGGGGAGAGGTTGATATGCTAGAGGACAGGCTGGAGAAATGGGCCAACAGGAACCTCATGAAGTTCAAAGGGGCAAGTGCCAAGCCTGGCCTCTGGGACAGGGTAAGCATACGCTGCAGGGCAGTTGCGGGGGGCTGGCTGGCATGCAGCTTTGCAGGAAAGGAGCGGGGGGGGCCTGGTGGGCAAGCTGAACCTGCGTCAGCAGGGTGTCCTGGGGACAAAGGTCGCAGCCACATCCTGGTCAGTATTAGCACAAGTAGCGCCAGCAGGTCAGTCCCTTCTATTCAGCTCCTGTGAGACCACACCCAGAATACTGTGTCAATTTTGGGGCTCCCCAGTTCAAAAAATACATAGTTATGAGGGTGTTAAAACAGAGCCACCAAGATATGGTGGAGTACAAAGCATACAAGGGTTTGAGAAAATTCTGTTAGTTCAGCCTTAAGAAAAGACTATGGCTTCTTGCTGGCAACAACTAACCCACGGTAGAGCATGGGGAAGAGTCAAGACTCTTGTTGGAGGTGTTTTGCACGAGGGAGTTAATAGACACAAGCTGGAACACAGGAAATTCCAGCTTCATGCAAGGAAGACTTTTTTCAACTACAAAGGTGCTCAAGCAGCAGAAGAGGCTTTCCAGAAAGGCTGAGGAATCTCCATCCTTAGAGATACTCAAGACTGGACACAATCCTGCGCAACCTGATCAAGTGGGACCTACTTTGGGTGGTTGGTGGTCCCTTCCAACATAAATGATTCCATAAGTAATAATCACTGTAAACCAGATTAATTCAAGCAGAAATTAGGACCCTGTGTTTTACTTCCTTAACTCATTCTAAACCCTCTAAAACACACCTGACAGTAAAAAAGCATATTCTACTTTGTCTTGTGACAAACAGGACTAAAAATACAGGTGTCTCCTTTCTGCATAGCCCAGCTTGTTTTTTTTTTAATCCTGTAAATATGCATGTATCAGTTTTAAACCAAAAAAACAAATCCAACCAAAAAAACGCACACAACACTGGCTCCATTATCACAAAACAGAAGTTGTCAGAAATGCAAATGGAAACTTCAAAAGCCATGCCACAGTGGAATCCAATCCAAGTCTCAGGAGTATATATCCATTTTAGTATACCATTAGACAAACTGGAAGTGAAATGAGAGAAAGCACAACTCATCCTTTCTTCAGCTGTTGACTCTGCAGCCAGCTCCAGAACTGCAATTACCCTGTGGCACTGCAGAATCTTGAGTACTTCAAACTAACTATTGTATGCATAATCACCATAAAAAAGAAGTCCATCACCAGAAGTCAATTAAGTTTGCGGAGGGGCATATGCACAAAGTCATGGAAGATGTTTTCTCTGAGTTTTGCTAAATATTGATAAATGCACCTTAGCGTTTTATTCCTATTTTTAGTGGATACAGAAGACCAAGATACTATGCAAGAAAATCCTGACAGAAGTGATAAGCCTTCATCTTCAACATTATGACTTTGCATCCAATTACATTTGTTTTCATTCTCAAATTTAATGAGTTAGAGAAAATTAAGGTGAATAAGTGGAACTCACTTTATTCTTTTAAAAAAGCTATACTATAGTTTTCCCAGTTATTTGTGTAACAAAAGCAAACAAAAAGAGTCTAAATGTTTTTCTGCAAATGGGCTTTTGGTGCACAAAAATACATAATACCAAAAGGACAACACAGAGTAAAGTCTTTAAAAAATGAAAATAAAAAAACAACCCAAAATTCAGCTACAGTATTACTGCAGTCAGACAGTTCCAGGCTTCGTGTCTTCTACTTTTCCAAACAGAATTCAAACCTTTTAAATAATTCAAAATATGCTCGAAGTTGAAGGATTTGTAGGTTTTTTTTCTTTTTATATACATATATATGTACACACATACACAAGAATAAATTTAAGTGGATGTAGGGTTAAAAAAAAGGCATCTCCAAAGAAACGTCAGTATCTGTATTTAGTGGAATAATCTTTTGGCGATACCACTAAACCTCGACCTTTGCGGGCTCCTCTATAAACAGTTTCTATAATGTCAATCATCTCTTGCTTATCTTCCATTGCCCAGTTGATCTTGTTGTTATTACCTGTACCCAAATCAATCATGATGTGTTTGTTCCTTTAAAGGGAGAGAAAAAACAGACAAGTTAATATGGTATTTTAATTCAGAAAGAAACTTTATATCCCCCACACGAATGGTTTGTAGAATTCAAAAAAAGCCCTTATAACATAAACAGTCTTGCAAAATAACCCTCAAAGAAAAGAGGTTGCCTGTCACTCAAGTTGGCATTTTACTGCCCATTTCTAAAGCTAGAATAAAGATTGCAAACATGCCCCCAAGACTGCTACTCAGTGCAATTATCCTTCAGCATATTCCTCATCATTTGTACTTCTTTCCCACTACTGTTTTAACACCAGAGAGAGTTCCACGCTTGTCAGTAGCACATTTTATCTCATCAACGTAAATGCCTTGGCTCTAAAAAACCATAATACTTTGGGTATATCTTTAAAACAAGTTTGACAAGCTTGGCTGCCGTATTACTGCAGTATTCTATACAGGGAGTTTTAGATTTAAAACTAAAACCAATGGATAATAAAAACAGTTTCCACTATCACTAATTTGTACTCTATTATATTGGAAAACAAGCCATTTTCCTATTTAATCAGTTTACTCTTGTAGAGCAATGAAAATATAAGCATCACTATGCTAATATGCATTTAGAAATGATTTACCTAGACACTGTATTTGACACACACACAAAAATTTAACTGAGTTACATTCTAGAACCATCACGTACCTGAAGAAAAACATGACAGTACAGGGATCATACAACTCGTACATCTTGTTGAAGTCTGGTACTTCAGTGATATCCACAAGATAAATAACAGCAAAGTTTTTTACCTAGACAGAAGAAAACAGGAAATATAGAAGCAATATATATTACCAAGCCTTTGATTATTTGTATTACCAATTAAAAGACATAAGCTTTCTTTATTGCAACATTTATTTTCCAAAATATTAACTCATAAAATCCCAGTAAACAGTATTGCTGCTATTTTTAACCACAACCACCAATTAACATGGAAAATATTTTTAAATATAGCCAAGATGCTCATTTCACATCCGGTATCAACTGGAAAGATACAATGCTAAATCAACACCCAAAGAAACAAATGCCCTTTACATACAACTGAGACCTCACAGTGACACGCACAGCTCTAAACAAGTAGAGTAACTGCTTTGTGCAAGCCAAGCTGACACATGTTGCCTCTGTTGTCAGCTGCTTATAGACTTCAGAAAATGATCTAAAATGCCATGGTGCCTGCCTCCAAGCATTTTTTTCCTCTCTAAACCATCTGATTTGTTTAACAAGGCTCATTAAATGAAAGTAAAACTGATAATTTAATAATAAAAACGGATAGCTTTTTTGAGAGGTGTAAAGCTAAAACAGGGGCTTAAAAACTTAGTGAAAAAAAGACCTTGATGAGAAGCTATTCTCTGGGCAATTCTGGTAGAACAGGCTTTCATTTTGCAGAGTTACTGAGTTAAATGCACAAGAATCCTTCCCCTTTAATGTCACAGTTAATGTCTTCGTTCCCGAAAGAAAATCATGTCATATTTTTATTTCCTAGATGTAGCATATTTGGCCTCAAGTGGAATTAGGGGAAGTTTTAGTTTCTAAACTTAGCTTATGCACGGACAGTAGAAATTAACACACACACACACACACTAAAATATAAGTCAGCAGACATCTAAATTACACAAACCTTTAACTGTAAGGTCTATTATCAAGTACTCCTGCATTATACCATGAACACGCAACCTTGCACCCCCCGTCCTTCCTTACATACAAATACGATTTCGGTCCTTCCTATCTGACTGTGCAAAATTGCCAGTCTGAGGTTAACACGTGGTCTGAGATTTATGACAAACTTACTGTTTGTCACAGTACTTCCCACATGTTAATTTTGCTATCAAGGTCTGGAAATGCTATGATGAGTATAAATTTCTGCGTGATGTAAAGATATTTTTTTTTAGTCCACAAAAAGGTATTAGACTGTACCAGAAAAATGTTATATATGGTGTACCCTGTAATTAAACATCCTAGCAGGCACTCTAGTTGAGAAAGTATGGAGATGTTTGTTTACAAAAAAACAGAAGCGCACAGTAAATAAATTTTGATGGACTTCTGCTTCAAGACAGTTTCTAAATTATAAAAAATAATCACACTTCAAAGATGTAAATAAGTATTACTAGTGAAGAAAGGAAAAACCCTTCTGGAGTGAAACAGCATTTAAATAGTTTTTACTGTGCTTTTATGGAGCCAGTTATAATCCTAGACTCTGTCAATAATCTAATGAAAACACCCCATTTAAGCCATGTTCCCAAACAAGCAAGACGTAAAGCCTTGAAAACCCAAGTTAGTCATGATACCAAACTCTACCACCCTCTGAAGTCTTCATTCATGCCCATTTCAGTTTTATATGAAAGATTTCTAAGAAATTTAATGGGATGTTCAGAGTCAACAATTTAGCTGAAAAGTGGCTGAAGTTACTCCCTGGTTAGCCTTAGGAGGCAAAAGACAGTTGTGGTTTTCTGTTTGGTGGTTTTTGGGGGGTTTTTTGGTTTATTTTTTTAAAAAACACAAAATCCGAAGAGCCATTTTCATTTTCTCCTATCATTTCTTCCTCCATCCTGCTGGCATTTTTAGCATCAGCAGTACAGCTTTGCCACATGGGGAAATTTCTGCAACACATTTGGCAATTCCGACAAACTAAACATAATCTTTGAACAATTATTTAATTTGGAGATTAGAAAATAATTTTAAGTTAAACCAAGCATTAATACAACATTCTTAGGACCTGCTTTGTTCACTGAAAGATTAGTCCAAGGAGATTATATGTTGCACCAGAAGACCACTATGAAAGCACTGCTAAACCAAAATTTTACTTCCAAGAACTGTGTACTCCACATAGTAGTGGAACAACAAAACTTTTAAATTAGCTTTACACTATATAGATTTAATTTAGTTGAGCTGTTGCAGAACCAGAAACGCTTGTCACTAGCAACGAACATCAACAGCCTGAGATTTTAGAAAAGAGAATGAGACTATTCAAGTCTTAAATAAGTTATTACATAAATCTTACTCAAAAGGACTGGATCATTCAAATCACCTTTGCACAGCACATCCACAAGTTATCACTGTTATCCATGTATCTCAGACATTAACTGAATCTTCCTTCTCTCCTACCTACTTTTATAGAAGTGAAACTGATGACAGTCACCTGCTCAAAAGCTTGTATGAAGTCTAAAGCAGACCTCAAAGCTAGATACAGACTCTCAAATTTGAATGCAGAACTTTGAAAGTGGGTCTATTCTTTCCCCTTTGCTTTCTTAATTTCAAATGTGACCACATTACCACTCCAAAACCACTCAGCTTGCAAGCGCATTGAATAAGGATGTGTTTTGCTGAGTTTGGACACTGGCTGCCAAGGTTGCCCGTGACATGGGCCTTGCCATGCAACACTCCGATATTCGTAGCAGCAGGAGGTTGGGATTCAGGCCTAAGAATGAGCTAGATAAAAACGTGGGTAAGAGGCTAAATATGGAAAGGGTGATGCAGAAGCACTGCAGTGGCCATAATACCTACTGTTTAGTGGCCATGGCAGGCTGGGCAGGCTTGTCACCAATAGGCATTTTATTTCAACGCAAGACAAGCCCTGCAGAACTACTCAAATGTGTCTCTCTGCACAGTATTGACTGGTTTTACAGTCTGAAGCAGCACTTGCTGTCTCAGATAGAATACTGGAGCCAAGATGCAGTACAGAGCCAGCTTCACAGCACTACAGAGCAGCACCTGAGCCAGCTTCACACACGGCCGGTTCTAATTCACAAGGCTTTAGCTTCTTTTTAAGCAAAAGCAATTGAAGTATTTCCGGATTGAGGCTGGTATGGATGCAGTAGTTGATCTATACTTGAGCTAGTAAGTCTGTGGAGACAAACCAAAGCTTAACCTCTCCCCATCCATTGGGACATGAATCCATTCCCCAGACAGAGCTTATCAGTTCAAAAAGCACGTTCCTATATAGAACAAGCTTCACTATCATTGGAAGGCAGTGGTTGCTGAGAAGTTCTCTTCCTGACTTTTGAGTTATAGCTGGGCTTACAGTATGGAGACCTCCGAACAAGAATTAAATACAACTCTGAGCAAGCAAACCACACTAAATAAAAGCAGTTACAGCTGCTGAGGTGGCAGCTGCAACAGTTGAGACTACACTGAGGTTATTAGTGTACACCAAAATTTTACCATCCAGACAATATGCAAAAAACCTTGTGGTATTTTATAAGTTGAACATGTAATAACACAAGTTTATTCTGAAAGTACTTAACCTCATAACATACACTAAAATATAGTAAATTTGTTGCAGTAAGTCAGCTGCTTTCTGGGAAAAAAAAACAAACAACAAACAAACTCTAGTGATAGACCTCCTTTTGGACAGCTTGCTCAACACCTGAAGATAAGAACATTTTCAGCAGAAAAACAAGACAGGTATTAACTTTCAAATATATTTATTTCTGACACTCTGACTTCCTCTAGCCATCTTTCAATTCAAAACTTTCTCTGTCTTACCAGGCCATTGTAGCTGGTGTCCATGGGGACAGGATGAGGATGGGGAGGAAACTAAAAATCAAACAGCAGCATGAATTCAGAATTTGGGCTTCAATTTTGATTGGGGTTTTTTATTCTTAATTACTGTAGCTTCACAGATTAGTCTACGTTACTCAACACGCATATACAAAACCCAAAAGTACAGTATTGCCTAGCCACAGTTACAGACTATTTTAATACTTGACAGACCTGTATCTGCTTGGGTGGGCTACCATTAAATCTTTAAACTGAACGGCTCAATATAAAGCAGAGGAATCTATGGGACCCTTAACATCAGATAGAGATTCTGTATCCTATCTTGATGAAGACCATACACTTAGCTGGTAAATCGGAAACATGGATGTAGGAAAAATCATATGCCAGGTGAAATAAATCTCATTTGCCCTGCGAAGTTCTCCCTCCTGACTTTCTTCATTAACAATGTGATTCCAAAAAAATTAATGCATTCCTACAACATGAGATTGCCACAGAATATGATCAATAACTAGGAAGAATGGCAACGATCATGAAGTCTCTTTATTTCTTTTAGAGGTAAGGAATACTCTTCTTCTGTTAAGATTTCAGCTCCCTTTAAGGAGCAAATCTCACAGCCATACGTTATCCTATGGCCCAAAGCTCATACAGCAAATACCTAAGGAAATCTGAGACAAGACCTTACAGTCCATCTTTCCATCTTCCTAACCAGTTTCTAGACAATGTTTTTTATGTTTAGAAGTTTTTATGGACATGGAAATCACAGGAAAGAAAACCCAGGAACTAAAGACTAGCTTTTGCAACACATCATTCAAGCTGAAGGCAGCTAGCAGACTTGCATTACTGACCTGAAAGAGGCTGCACACACAGTAAGTGCAAACTTGAAAGTCTGTACTGTCAATATTTATTTGAATTTTTTTTCTTGCTAATTATGCTGTAAGTTTAGGGGATAAATTTCTAGGGGAAAAGAGAAAGACATACTGCTGAGAGCAATGCTTACAGCTAATAATTTTGAAAATACCATAGACATGAGTAAATGGATTAGCTTTGCTCAGCTTTAATTACAAACACCAGTAACTATAATACCAATACATCTTTTATAGCTCCCTCTTTCCCTGCCCCCCTTTCTTTTCCTCTCTCACTTTTCATGTAACCTTAACAGAAAGGCAGAGGCACAACTAATGTTTGAGTGAAAGCCACAGCTATTCACACTTCTGATTATGGTTAAACAAATGCAAAATATTTGAGCAATCCTTCCTAAACCCACATTGACCCAATACAACCTACTGGTTAAAGTGACCTGGTTTCACAAGAGGTTATCTGATTTACAGTATTCAGTCCTACATAAATAATGGTTTTAACATATTTCTTAAAAAAAAGGGTATTAAAGTAATTTAGCAGCCAAACCCCTGTATTTCAAGGGATGGGTTTTTACACTTGTGAGCCTCCTTTAAAAAAAAAAAAAAAAAGTGTATTTTTAAAAAAGGTGTTCCAGAGGAATTTTGTGAAACTCAGTCCTTAGATGTTTGGCTGAAACCCTGACAAAGCAGGAATCTAACATCTTACAATTGTAATTTGTTTTGAAACTCAGTGAAACAGTGCATCCTTTTCATGTAACATTGGGAAAAAAAACCCACCAGTCAACTGTAAGTGGAGTACATTTCAGTGAAAATAATCTGCTTTGTATTGTCATATAGTGTTGTAGTTTCTTTTCCCCCCAAAAGGATTCAAACAGAAAAAATCCTGTTTTCCTATTATAAAGTACAGATAAACATTACTGCTACCCAAAAATATGCTGCAGACTAAAAGAATATTGCACCATGGTAACAAATGTAAAACGTGGCTACATTTTCTTCAGATGTAGCATGCAATTACAGCATGTTAACATTCTGTATTATTCTCTAGTAAAAACACCTGTACAATTGGAACTTTTACTCACTCTTTAAAACAGCAGAGATCCAAACATGGCTTGTAAGCAAGAGGATGAGGAAGGATTTCCCCCTTTAATTTGCCATTTCTGCAGAGGGAGATTTTTAAATAAGAAGTTACATTGTTCTTTCTTCCCCCAGTCACCCCTAACTGCCAATATGTCTGCCAAATTGCCAAGCATCCTGCCAAAAGTTGATACTAACAGTATCTGAGCATAAGACACTCCCACCACGTTAAACACAAAACAACTACATTAAACCATGTCACAGCTCCTTACTGTATTCCATTATGTCTTAGCTTTTGGCTATGGGTATAAATCTTTCATTGTAAGGGTTTTAGAGACAGAAGTTTGTTTATTTAAAAATAACATTAAAAGAGAAAGGAGTCCACCAAAAAAAGAACTCTGTACGCATATAATTTTACAAGAAGATAGCAGACTCCTTTTCCTACCCAAGTTACCTTTTCTGGTTCAGATTTTTTTGCTTCATTTTCTATGTGGTTCAGTTAAAGAAGAGCTGTCAATTTTCTATGTCTATCGCTATGCAAAACCTCCACCAAATATAAGAACAGGTAAATCATAGCTGTTCGTAAACAGCCCAGTTTTTCTTCAATATCTGTCTTTCTTGAGTGAGTGACCAGCCATCAGCAGGCATTCAGTTTCCATCTGAAAACAGCTTCAGAGTTTGGCTCCTAAAATTTAATTCAGCCCATGCAACTCAAGGGAATGCCATCTGCCTCCACGAATAATATCGCCAATAGATTAATCAAAACCACCCTGTATATTTTAGGATCTCGGCATTTTTAAGAGTCAAAATGAAAGTAACTTTTCAAGTTATTCAAATGGAAACCTGAAGCTACTATACATTCTGATTGTGAAGTGACAGTGCTGCACTTCCTACAGCTACAGCAGTCCTACTACCAAGCGCTTTTTTTCTGCTTGAGTGCTGACGTTCGTTAAATGACGGATTACTAACCGGCAGTGATTCTGCCTTCAGAACTTGCAACGCTCTTTTTTCCCCTCATTAAATACTACAAACATCAGAGCAGTGGATGACTTTAGGAGATGCTCACGAAAGCAAACCAAACAGCTCTCTCGCTGCCTCCTAAAGCAGGAATACCTCTCCAGAAACCGAGTTATAACCTGCCTCAGGCTTCGTGTCAGCCGTTTGAAACGCTGAGCGCAGAAAGTGACCGTCCCAGGTTACCACTCCGCTTTACCTTCTCGGCGATGCTGTATAAGACTTCATCCATTTTCATGCAGGTGGGGTCCCAGTCGTGCCCGAAGCGGATGACCACGACTCGGTCCTCTTCCGACAGGATGGCCTGGTCCACCTGCCAGCCGTTGTGCAAGTGCGGTAACATGTACGACATCCTGAAGGCGGGGAGGCGGGCCTGCGGGACGACAGCAACCACCCGGCAGCTGACAGCCCGGCCTGCCTTTGCACGGCCCCGCCAGACCCCCACGACGGCACCCTCGCCCCGCAGGCCCAGGCCCGCCTTCAGCGGCCGCGGCCTCCCGGGGCCCAGCCGCGATGCCACCTCGCCGGGCCCCTACGGACGGCCCGGGCCAAGTTCCCCCCGCCCCGCCCCGCCCCGTCCCATCCCGCCCCGTCCCGCCCCGTCCCGTCGCGTCCCCGCCGCACCCCGTGGGCGTCCTTCTTCTCGGCGAAACGGGGCGACGGAACCACAGCGGGAAAGGAAGCGGAAGTGAGGACAGACGTTCGTACGCTTGGAAACGCGCTTCCGCCCTGTGGGGGGGCGGGGTTTCCCGTCAGTGGGCGGGGCGGAGCGCGCCGAAAGGGCGGGGGGGGGGGGGAGGGGAGGCCGCTTGGAGCATACCAAGTGTGAAGGCGGGCGGGGAGGGGCGGAAGAACAGCTTGGATCGTACCAAGCGGGGAAAGGGAGGGGGGGCGAGGTAGCGGAGGCCCGAGTGGGACGTCACCGCTCATCGCCGCGGGTGTGACGTGGCAGAGGCCTGCGAGAGCCCCTTGCGTCACAGCCCTGCGGAGGGCCAGGCGCAGGCGTTGTCCTCTCAGGGGTGTCTGTGCCCCCATCCCACCCGCTGTGGAGCCAGGCCCAAAGCGAGGGGGAGGCCCTGGGCTGGGGCGTGGGCGACAGCCAAAAGGGCAAACCAAAATGGCGGGTGGCCCTGTGGGGGTGTCCCTGCTGCCCGAGAAGCCGGCTGCACCCAAACGGGTGGGCAGGTTGTGCTGCCTGTCTGCTGGCCGAGGCCGCGGGCCTCTCCCCTCACGAGCGGGACGTGGAGCCGTGCGGCGGTGGTTGGCGCAGGTGGGCCGAGGGGTGCTGCTGGGTGGCACCGGCAGGATGGAACGGAGGTCACCGCAGCCCAGATCTCCGAAACGTCTGCTGCTGACCGCTCTGGGGGTGCTAAAACACTTTCTGTGCCTCCGTTGGATTTGATCAAGGGGATCCTGCGACAGAGTGAGCGGCTGCATGCATCTCCTGGTTATGGAAGATTCTGTCACTGTACTTGTTGCCGAAAAACTCGGAATAAAGAACTTATCAACACCAATTTAGTGTAGATAAGCAGACACTTCTTTATTGACGGCCGGGTGCACGGGTGAGTCCTCTCACGAACCACGCACACCTGAATACCAAAATCATACGCCTTATATTAAACTTATTCATACATATTCATTAGATTTCTGAGAAATGTTATGCATATTCATTAGATTTCTGGGAGGTTATTAGCATATGTAAATGTCCTTTACGCAGGCCCAGTGAAGGTCTCTGGTGGTCTTCAGAAGCCCTCTGGTGGTCTTCCATAGTCTTCCTCACTTTGTCTGATAGTTGACCTTTCATGTGATTCTGCGCAGTACGATTTTCGCCATCATGTATTAGATTTACATAAAGTACATTCAATGTTAATTCTTGAATTTAATGTTTCTAGTGATTGGCGCTCAGTCACACCACCTTATCAATATTCTTACACTAAAACAATAATTGGTTAATCTCATTTAACTCTACTGATTGGAATTCTCGTTAATTAGATCGAAGTAAATCTTTACCAAAGCTTCCGTGGTTAACTGATTTCAGACAATACTCGAATTCTTATAGTTACACATAATACATTTTCTTAAGTTCCTAAGTTCCTATTAATTTGAAATTCTGACATCTGTTATCTAAGTTCTAAATGTTCCTACTAGATGATTTTAACCAATTCCTCCGGCCTTGGTACAGGGCTATACAGGGGATTTCACAGCAGCTGTTAGTTGTTGGTTAAATGTATAGAATGCAATATATAATTTTGCTAAAATATTTTGTATAGTTCCATATTCCTATTAAATATGATTAATTCTAACTAATAACAAATCAGTAACATATTAACCCGCAGCAATGAACATTTTCATGCTTGAGCCGGTGCTAGTTGTGGCTTGAGTGCTGTGTCAAAATGCAGGTATGTTTGAACCAGCTGGGTCACAACTGCATATCCATCTTCTGTGTTCCTTCCTGATGCTCTGTCGTGGTTTAACCCCGGCCAGCAACTAAGCACCATGCAGCTGCTCACTCACTTACCTCCCCACCCAGTGGGATGAGGGAGAGAATCGGGAAAAGCAGTAAAACTTGTGGGTTGAGATAAGAATGGTTTAATAGAACAGAAAAGAAGAAACTAATAATGATAATTATAACACTAATAAAATGACAATACTAATAATGAAAGGATTGGAATATACAAGTGATGTACGATGCAGTTGCTCACCGCTTGCCAACAGATGCCCAGTTAGTCCCTGAGCAGAGATTTCCGCCCCCCCCAGGCCAACTCCCCCCCAGTTTATATACTGGGCATGACATCACATGGTATGGAATACCCCTTTGGCCAGTTTGGGTCAGCTGTCCTGGCTGTGTCCCCCCCCGACTTCTTGTGCCCCTCCAGCCTTCTCGCTGGCTGGGCAGGAGAAGCTGAAGAACCCTTGACTTGGTCTAAACACGACTTGGCAACAACTGAAAACATCAGTGTTATCAACATTCTTCACATACTGAACTCAAAACACAGCACTGTACCAGCTACTGGGAAGACAGTTAACTCTATCCCAGCTGAAACCAGGACATGCACCCAGCACCCAGAGCTAACCCTGCCTGTGGGAGCTGCGCTGCACAGCCCTGGGCTGTTCTCGCACCTTGGTACCGTTACGCTCTCTCATCTCTCGCAGTCAAAATCCCAGTGCTTGGAACACGCTCGGTAAATGTTTTTGGTTGTTTTGAAACCAGGACATTTCAGCATTACGTTTCAGAATCGAGCTGGCCATGGAGATGGGGCGTCCCAGGCCAGTCTTCCTGCTTCCTGAAAGGCATTATGTGTTCTCCACAGGACGCTCATTTAAAAGGCTAGCTTGCAGCAGACAGGGAGAAAAGCATAGTTCCCACTCCAAAAAAATCCCCACCGGCTTGAGCTGGGGCTGTGGGGAGCAGTCGTGGAACAGCAGCCTGAATTTGCACCAAACTACTTTCCCCTAGAATTGCGGAGCTCCCCCCAAAAACAACCGAACCCCGCCTTTTGCGCTATCTCCTTTCTGGAAAATTCAGTGCCGGGAGAAGAGAAGAAGGTCGCCGTTTCAGACCAAAGCACTCCGCCTTCAGCCGTCCCCGCAGAAGCGGGCGGTGACACCGGGCACCCCCCCGTCCCCGGCGGACCGCAGCCCGGCCGCGCCGCCGCTTCCCTGGAAGCGTTCACCGGCGTTACCGGAGACCTCCCCCCCGCAGCTGGCAGGGCAGGAGCTAAACCCGGGTCCGTAGCAGGGTGCCGGACCCCCCCACACCCCCCCAGTTCGCCGCTGGAGCTGGGCAGAGGTAGCCCGGGGCCGGGGGGGGGTTTGCAGGGGGGCTGGAGCGGGTACACCCGGGTGGGAGCAGGAGCCGTGAGCTGAAGGCTTTTCCAGCTGAGCTAGGATGGAGCTGTGAAAAACATCGTCAGAAAGAAACCAGCCCTGGTTAATTCTCTGGTTGTTATTCAGGTAATTCGTTTTTCGTAATAGAGAAGTTAGTGGGAGGAACTTGTTCTGGGTAACGCGTGCTGTTAGTTTGAAACAGAGCTCGGAAAAAGGACCTGGGTTTGTTTTGCTATGATTTGGCTAAGTCCAAAGTGGTTTAGCAGTGCCAGTCTGCCAGGAAGCAGTGAGTCAAGCTCCGCAGAAGGAATAAGGCCAGCTCCAGTTAGCACTGAAGTTAATACTTCAATGTGGTCCTTTTTATTTGCCCACTTGTCTCGATCTGAGTCATATTTTCCAAGTTTTCTCTGCAATGCGAGGACCAGAACTTAGTACAGATACATTACATCAATGTGTTACATATGATTATAGATGTGTACATACACGGAAGCAGATAATCTTAGGCAAATAGAAAATGTGAGGAGACACAGCTTAAAAAAAAAAAAGAGAGTTAGCGACACTGCAGATGATACTAGTCCAAAACCAAAATTGTCATATCCTTAACAGGTGTCACATTTAGCACACTGGACAAGACATCTGATAACTGAAGAATTATGCTCAGGAGCAAAGCATTCAGTTTGTTAAAATCGATTCCCTTGATGTCTGGCCAGTCAAATTTGGCTTATAAATTTATTCATCCAGCTATTGCTTCTCATGGACATTGCTGTCACAGGAGAAGTGTGGATTATAGACAGAGGTACGAGACACACCCCGGTAGTGCTGGAGGACGAACAATAAGTGCTCCTCAGACCAAGGTTGGTATCTGGAGAGCCCCCTTCCCTCTGCAAGGTTCCTTGAAGTGTTTTTGGTTTACTGCTATCAGTGTAATTTTTTAAGATTGTACCTGGTACTAGCAGAACCCCAGTTCTCGAACCAAAGCTGCAGTCTATTAGTGGTTCACGCACACATCAAACGTGGCTGAAATTGTGGCGCACTCAGCATATCCATGCTAATGAAAAGATTAATTACATGTGACTAGCCTGTCTGTAGTGCACCAGCTGGTTTGTTTAAAGCTAAACCAGCTCTTGCTGCGCTGCACTGTACTGTGGCTTCCTCACGGATCACCTTTCTGCTTGTGAAGTTCAGGAAGTGCTTCTGAAATGAACGCAGGTCTCACTCTGACCTTTGTGGGTGGTGTTTTGTAATGGAGGAGGAAGCAGTGATGAAAGCAAATAATGTAATACAGTGCCACCTTACTGGCTTCTCCCAGTCAATTCATCTTATCTGGTGCCCAGTCTTCCATCACTTAACAGCATAAGGTTTAGTTGCCATCTGGTCTGAGTAAGTTGCTGCAGGAGCATCAGGTTGTGACCATCAAAAAGCTGGACAATGCTGTCACAATATGACATCAAATCTTGTCTTTTGTTCTATGCCTCATTCCATCTGGAGGACGAATCTAGTTCAGCCTTCTAAGGTCACATTGTGTAATACCCTAAGCAATATACAGACTACAGCTGGGGAAATTTGCACAATTTTCACAACCATATGGGGCTGGCAGGGTTCAAAATACTTCAGTTGGCAAGAAGTAGATTAGATATATTTAAGAACATGGTATTCCTTTGCAATATGGTTCCACTATTCATCTCATTGCGTTGTTTGCTGCTGTTCAGAACCAGTTATCAGAGACACTGTTCGTGGTGAACTGCAGACCTGTCCTAACACGGAGGCTCCTTCTAGCCCACGTAGAGCAGCAGACTGGAACTGAGGCAGAAATGCAGGTCAAGGCCAGGATAAAGCAGTATTACTGGTGTCGAGATTGAAGGCATTTAATAGATGCAGTTGGCATAAGCCTGAGTTTGCTCAGGATGAGGGTAAATACGGTCTGACAGAAACTACCAGTCTGCATTGACACCTTTTTATCACAGGTTTGAATTCTGGTTACTTGCTGAAAGCTTGTGTGAGAGGACTGAAGCAGCAGGAAATCTCTGCCCAGCACTGTGTGCCCAGAATAAATCAGCATACTGCTGTGGAAAATTGTTCTGATTCAGTTAGCATAACGTCAGGTTTCCTGGACCCAAGCCTAGGACACAGTATGGGATAGAGACCTAAAGTGAGTGGAGCACAGCAAACAGAATTGTAGGAAATTGGGCACGACTGTTGTTAAGACATGCAGCAAATCTTCAGCTGCCATTTTTGTCAATAAGCACTGCCTCTAATTAGGCGTGTGGCTATCTGTGGAGCCCCTGTCTTATTGCAGGATACAATACATTGGCATGAGTGTTGCAGAAAGGACTGGGCTCAGAACTCTCTGGGTAGGGGAAAAGTTCTAGTATGAAGGACCGTGTTGTCAGTGGGACTTACAGTATCACCTCCAGTGCTCTTCCCCACTGGTTCTGCTTATAGGCATGGGTGTGCTAAATTTTGCGGGAGGTAAGTTCAGGTACAGATCTGGATGTTTAAAACACTGAAGGCAAGCAGTGTCGGAGCTGTCCAAAGATAGCCCTTCATTATGCAAATTTGTTAGACCTAAACTATTCCTGACAGATGTTTGTCAGACCCATCTGAGCCTCAGTGCCTCTCTACACTACCTGTGGCTTCACCAACTGTAATCAATAGGCAAGAAACTTTGAGTGACTTTCTGGCAGCCTCTGTTTCATACCACTGCTTACAGAAGTTAATTTGTGAATGAAGTTGAGAAGCTACCAGATTTGTATGAAATCAATATTGATTCAGGACTAAATTGAAACTATTTGAGAAGAACACCTTGTAGGACTGGATTTAGATTTAAGGGGGTGGACATTCCTTGGTGCTATAGTCTAGGTGCTGTGATAGTAAATCAGCACTTAGTGAAAATACTGGGAAGTTGTCTAACGCACCACGCTAGTACCAAGTGACTGTGGATTCATTCTGTATCGTTAAAAGCAGTATTGAGTTCCATCAGTTTCTTGTTTTACAGGTATGAATTTAAATGATCACTACAGCATCACTCCTTTAAAGGTGTTCTCCTAAACAAAGGAGTATTTCTTCTGTTCCCCTGTTGCAGGTCATGGCAGAAGAAGAGTTACCGGGGGTTTTGATTCTGGATATAGGAGGAGCTCATGGTGTGCTAGAAAACCTTGCAGCACTTCTGAAGAAACACTTTTGCCTTATCACCATGAAGGAATTTCTTCAAAACAAAAAAGAAATGAGCAAAAAAATCCAATCTATTTTCGTGTTTGAGTGCAGGCCGATTATTGACCGAGAGCTTCTAGAAAGCCTGCCTAATTTAAAGGTAATTGGAAACTCTGGGGTTGGAGTCGATCACTTAGACTTGAAAATGATTTCTAGCTTTGGGGTAAAAGTGACCAACACCCCACACGCCGTGGCGGACCCAACAGCAGACATAGGAATGGCCTTGATGCTGGCCTCTGCCAGAAGACTAGTGGAAGGTAATGTTTTAAATTTTCCTGGATCTTAGCTACTTCTCTGGCATATCTCACTTTTACTATGATACAAATGATCTGTCTGAATCAATATTTGGGATGCTTTCATGGGGAAAAAAAATTCTGAGGACTCCGTTTTCAGACTGCTTTTCCTATGTCCTGCTTCTTCATAAGGCGATGGTGACGAGTAAGGGCTTTGTCTAAATTATGCACTTTAAATTCACTTGTGATATCCTGTTCGGAATGAAGTCTGGGTCATAATTCTCCTCTGGCTGTTCACTGGGTGGGTTGTTTATAGCTGTAAAAACTGAATACAAAATGCATCCAAATCAAATGTCACCACTTCTCCATTTCCCTTGGAACAAGTTTTAGGAGCTACAGGAAGGTACAAAGCATTAATGGCCATGTCCCCATCTCTAGAGCAGTAATTAGTGTAACTCTTCTTTTTTTTCCTGCTTCTGTGAAGAGTTTTTCTAAACCAATGCGCTGTATTTCTAGAAGAGCATCAGCACTATTATTAAAATAGCTGATAATCCTTTTGACAAAGTTATTCCAAACCGTACCACCAACATTAGTTTGTGTCCTTAAAGGTAGGTCCTTTCCCCACATACCCTTGCTACGCAATGCCTTTCAGGGGAAGGAAGGTGTCAGTAGAACCTATCACAAGAAGTTGCCTCCGTCTTGAGGGACTCAGTCTTTCTGTCACTGCTGCTGCACCCCTGAGCTTGAAATAACACCTCTTTCCCCGTGATGTTTTCTCACTGTTGCATCTTGCTGGACTTCAAGTTCTTTGTATAAAAGCTCATAGAGATCCGTGGCTGAGCTGGAAATGGCAACCGTCACCCTCATTCAAGCAGTGGGTCTGCTTTGGGTCGCGATCCAGGAGAGAAAGGGTGAGATTTACCCCAGCTGAAAAAAAAGTGAATTCAATGCTTGCAGGGTGGTAAGTGTGAAAGAAGCTATTTTTAAACTTTCAAGAAAATACTCCAACCGTGGAAGAGTTAATTCCCTGAGGAGCCATTTCTCCCAGCACAGTACCCACCTGGCAGCCCTCCTGTGCTTCTGGCTCCAGCCCTGGCTGCAGGGAATGGCACCATCCAGGCCCTTCCATAAACTGGTCAAAATTAGCAAGGATGTTGTTTAAGGGGTGCTCCAGAGCCCCACCGCTGTGACGGTGAGAAACTTTTTCTTTCCCCCAAACCTATGTTTATGGTTGGTTTGTACCCATTTAGCATGTATTTACATTCAGGCTGCCAGATTGCAGTTTCTCCAGACACGAAGTATTTTGGGGTTGACTGGCTGGGAGTGGAAGTAACCAGAGCGACGCTTGGGATCGTCGGGATGGGCAGCATTGGTTATAGAGTGGCTCAGAGAGCCAGAGCCTTCGATATGAGGATCCTGTACCATAACAGGAACCGGAGGTAAAAACATTTGGATTCTGCATGTAATGAGTCAAGGGGCCGTGACAGAAACCACAGCTCTGCTGTGTCCCCAGTCTTCCTAGGCACTGGTGACAGTTGTGAGCAGCGTGAGGAGCACCAGCGTGCCGCTGCTTCTTCCCTTGGGCTCCCTACTGCTCCCTTCCCCCTCGCCTCCTGCGCTCGCTGTGCCCTGGTTAGCTACTAGCAGTTTGGAACAAGGGCCGTGTAACCTTTCTGAAGATGTTGTCCAAGAAAACGAGGCCTTGTGCCCTCATTGTGTCCCCTGTCCTGCCAGACTCTTCTTATGGCTTCTGGCAGCATCCCTGGCCCACCCAGCCAGTCACCCCTCTCCTCAGCCCGGCCAGATCACTCATCACACCGGCACCGATGACAAGGGTCTCAACTTCTGTTAGTTTTATAGCTCCCTTTCTTTCAGACTTCGCTTCCCCTTCATTCCTTTTCCACCCCAAGTCCTAACTCGCATGTCAGGCAAGGAGAGACTCTACAGGGATTGGCATAGACGCAGGAGAGGAGAGTGGGGTCAGATATTGCCTACGTGCTTTGCTTTCACACATACATCACACCTTCAGTGTCCCACCACTCTTCTAGCCTCCTGCTCCCTCTAGCCCACATGCTTCCCACCTCCTTCCAACACCTGTACCTATCAATGTCTTTTCCTTTACCTTGGCCTCAAACCTCTCGATCTCTGTGCTGTTCCTGATCTCTCCTAGGGTTGGTTGATTGTTAAAGCCAGTTAGAAATAGTTGTGTCAGTTTGGGGGGCTGTACATTTTTCCTTCAGAAGAAAGGAGGAAGAAGAGGCAGTTGGTGCCCACTACTGTGAGAAGATGGAAGACTTGCTGCAGCAATCTGACTTCGTTATGGTGGTTGTGAACTTGACTCCTGAGACTCACAAACTGATTGGGAAAAAGGAGCTTGGGCTGATGAAACCCACGGCTACTCTTATAAACATCAGCCGAGGTAAGATGATCTAAAAAGACTGTTTGTGGCTCCACAGTTAAGGTTGTGTTTTGTCTGATTGTGTTGACATTCCCCCCTCCAACCTGAGTCTGTGATATCCCTGTATTGTTTGAGTCATGAAGTAGCTGGCAGTCTACAAATGAATGACTTATCATAGATCAGATGCTATGTGTTCAAAGGTCCTATGGAATTTAGGGATGCTCAGCAGATGTTCTGTTCTCTTTAGCCTTATCCTAAAGACAGCTTTTTTTAGTGGAAATAACTGAAAGGTTTATCATCACCGATGATGAATTAGGTGCAAGGAGAAACCTAAGTTTCATTTGGAACAGCTATGTAGAAAAGAAACTTCACATGGGATTACAGACCTGTTGGCACTGAAGAAGCATACGAGAGAGATTATAGTTTCAGTAAAGAAAGCAGAGATAAAAGAGTGGAAAGCTTGAAGAGATTAAATGATTTGTCTATAATAATACAGGAAGTCAGTGTCAAAATGAGGAAAAGACTGAAACCGGTCACATCCCAGGAAAGGCCTTATGCAGTGGACCATAATCCTCCTCTAACTAAAGATTAATAAGTAAAATCTGTTTTGTTTGGTTAATGGTTATTAGAAAGACATTCTACTTTCTAACAAGATGAAGATCCTGTAATTTTTCTCACTAGACCCTTGAGACCTTTCCTCACTGCCAGGTAAAAACATGTTCATTAACTCATCACGATAGCTAGATTTCATTTCCATGCAGGTGCAGTTATTGATCAAGATGCATTGGTAGAAGCTCTCCAGAATAAGGTTATTAGGGCTGCTGCTCTGGACGTGACGTACCCTGAGCCTCTGCCAAGGTAAAGAAACCTGTTTTCCACTCTATTAATCTGAAATGTTTTAAACTGTGTGCAAAAGTGTGCTCATAATCTTGATCTCCATGAGGAGTCTCTCTCACTGTTTAAGGGCAAAACCTCAGCCTGTCTCGCACAGTCATAAATAAATGACAGACTATTAGCCTTTCCCACATCTGTCAGTTCTTTGCCAGCCTAACTGACAGGCAAGGCAACGAGACCAATAGAGACGAAGAAGAAATGGGTAAGCAAGCTTCCCACAGCTTTCTGCTGGTTCTGTGCTTGTGGCCCTTTTATCTCAACAGTTCTTAACAACTAACATGGGATAGCTGCAGAGTAAATTCCCTGTGTAAAACATTCTGTTCTTTCTGTTTCTTACAGAGATCATCCTTTGTTAAAATTAAATAACATCATCATAACCCCTCACATTGGAACTGCAACAGTCCAAGCTATCCGTATGATGGCAGAAGAAGCAATAACAAATATGCTGGCTGTTCTTAATGGCCAGCCCATTCCAAGTGAAGTGTTTCCCAAATGATGTGTGCCAGATGATATCAGTAAATCTCATATGTGTGGGAAGGCACTATTTCTTACAGTACCACTTTTAAACTAAAAAAACCGCAACCTGTTCCTGCACTGCTCTTGTCATGATACTGCAAAGCTGTCATCTGACTAGACTTGATCTGTACTGTGATTTACAATTCTGACAAATAAAGTGGAACTAATAAAAGGGACTTGTTTGAAGATTTTAAACTGAGCAGTTATGCACTTTGATATCTTTAGTCCATTATTTCAATGAATACCTGTATTCTCTTCCCAGTACTGGCTGCTACATAATGATAAGCAAGTACACCAAGAGTTTGTGTAACACTCTCAAATATATTAAGGGTGAATTGAGCAGTAATTGCCTGCAGAAATTTGGCTGTATCCTGAAACACTTTTCAGCCAATATTGCAATATTCTGTTTTTATATACATGAAGAAAGCAGTCTCCTTTGAAATGATTGTAGGCCTAAGGTTTTCTAATGTAAGAAGAGCTTTGCTTCATCTATATGTTAAAGCAAAGCAGAGCCAATTACTGAAGAAGTATCTTTGATTTTCCTGAGGGGATCCTTTGAAAACCAAAGTAAATACCAAGAGATTTAGTTCTTCCATGCAGACAAAAATGATGCTTTTATCTTGACTGGCCATGAAACAGTGGTAGATCTACTGAAATCACATGGGTGAGGGCACAGCCTAAAGCAAAATTCGTGGTCAGTCCTAACTTGCAGCCCAAGGCCAAGCTTTTTCTTACACTCTCTTTCCTATGAGCAAGCCACAAAGTCAGAAAATTCAGCAAAATGTTTGTCACCTCCATAAAATCAGGAAGCCTTTCCATTATTTTGCAATATGGTTAGGCTTCTTGAAGGGATGGTCAAACGAAGTTTTAGTACAGGAAGTGTAGACAGGCCAAGAGTTAGACATTGAGATGCAAATAGTGAAATACTACTAGCAAGACAACAGCAAGTATTGCAATAACAAGACTACAACTATTGCAATAACAAGACAACAGCAAGTATTGCTATAGGGGATTCCAAGATCTTCAGCCCTTAAACAGCTCTCCCTGCAGCTCTTCCCAAAATTCCTACGGAAAATCAATGGTAGCTGTAAATAGTCTATTAAAAAAAACCAAACTCGTCAATTCACAGACCCTCTGGGAACCACAAACAGATGGTCAGTGATTCCTGCAAAAAGCCCCATGGTTTAATTTGAGTGCATAAGTCCTTGGAAAACACTTGCCTAAGCATCTATTAATTTGTTAACTTATGATAGCCTCAGGAGAAGGCACTGCAGTTAAGAATTCACTGGTGTCTCTTCAGGACAGGAGGCTGCAAAAGTCTCTGCAGTGAAGCATTTAAAAATTAACCTGGTAACAAAGTTCATGGTGAAGCTGTGCAATTTGTTTTCTCGAACCAGATTTGGTCCAACATTTTTCTTAACTACTTAAACACAGCAGTTTGTGATTTCAGGGTAAGCAAGGAGATTAATTGCACCAGACTATTGACGGTCTGCAACTAAGTAATTAATGAGAAATCATTGTGTGTTATGAGCCTGGTGGCAGTGATACGAGACCTTACAGACCACGAGGGGCAGAACTTAGTCAGACTTGATCATGTGAATATGTGTGTGTGTAATTGGTAGTATACGTAAAAGAGCTGCTTTCTTGCTTCGGTTTATCTCCCTAGCTAAATATGTGGTTTATAGGATCTTTTGTCATAGATGTCACGAAACAGGACATGAAAGTGATTCTTCTTTAAAATGTCTGGAAATAATTATACGTCTGTCTTCTGACACTTCGTGTCTTTCTTCTTTGTGCAGATCATGAGAGAAGGAGAGCTACCTGGGCTTTTGGTAAATGAAATCGGTGGCAAACATGGGATATTGCATGGCCACGTGGCATTCCTGAAGAAACATTTCTACCTCATCACCATGAAGGAATTTCTTGAAGACAGAAAGCGTATGAGTAAAAAGGTCCAAGCGATCTATTTGTGGTGGCACAAACCAGTCATTGACCAAGAGCTCCTCCAGAGCCTACCAAACTTGAAAGTGATTGCGAATTCAGGGGTAGGGATGGATCACCTGGATCTGAAGCTTGTCGCTAGCTTCGGTGTGAAGATGGCTAACGCCCCACGTGCCGTTTCCAGCAGCACAGCAGATACTGGGATGGCTTTGCTGCTGGCATCTGCTAGAAGACTAGTGGAAGGTAACATCTTAATTCTTTTGTGGCTTCTAAAAATTATACAAGATTTACCTACCATTATTATTTTGACTTTTTCTACGGTTATCTGTAGGGCACATAGTTTCACATAAAATGTGAAAATCTAAATATGTTGGGTTGGCAAACAGAATAATCGGTATTTTCATATATTTTTATATATCATAAATATATCTAAATTATTACATCATACACAAACATACAAAACATATATTTCAACCAGGTATAAATAAGATCGTATAAGTTTAGTTTTCACAGGTCACCAGCCTGGGCTGAAAATATTTGAGCAGAATCTAATCACATTTGGTTCAAATACAGCTTTTTGCTTTATGGACCAAGTGGGTTTAGAAGCTGGAATTTAGTTTTTAGAATAAATATGCCAGTAGACTTAGTTTAACAGTTTCAGATGAACAATACACTGAAGTGTACTTCCTACATATGGAAACTTTAAATGTCATTACCTTGTTCAGCAGCACATTTTCAGTGACTGTGACATTTGGCTGACATAGGACGTGCTTCTTGATGTGATGGCGTTACAGTGCTATTGACCAAAAGTGAGGGATGCCAAAGATCAGACAAATGCTGCAATTACAGGCTGGCAGCAGAAATTAGAGTGTGGGAGGCAACAATGGAGCAGAATAAGGGTATATGCTGAAAGTTAGGGCTGACACAGGCATGGGCATATTCTCAGGGACTGAAAAGGATGGATGCAGAATTGGGGAATTTAAGGGGCATTAGAGAGCAACAAGGCAGCCTGCTCCAGCTTCTGCTAGTAGCATCCTTTCTAGTTTCTTCCACAATTTTTTCTTGCCATTTCCCCAAATAGACCTACCCTGGGCTTGGTTAGAATGCCTCCTGCTTCAGGAGAAGACCCTCCAGATTTTTTCTATTAAATTTACCTGCCTTTGATTTGTCAGCTCTACCACAGGATTCATAGAAACTCAAAGGAGACTTGTCTCCCCCTAAATCTGTTTCTGCCTCACAAGGAGGAGACAGATTAAAAGGGAGATTAATTTCTTGTTCCCATCTACAGAAACTATGCCTGATGGCATTTCTGTTAGCTGTGCCTTGGCAGAGTGTTTTACCCTGAGGCATTTTTTTATACTTTCACAATATTCTGCTTATGTTTTAGAAGAGCTGGAAATATCAGAAGACTGAAATATCAGAAGCCTGTCACCTTGCTAGCAGACTATTAAGTGCCATCTCCATGCATATATTTTCTGTGTTGTCAAACTATCCAAAATCTTGTAGGTTTAACAGATAATTATGGAAATTAGTGACTAGTGATTTTTAAACAAGTCACACTTTTCTTTCCAAGAGAGTGGCAGAGGTGAACAGGAAACCAGTTCTTATTATTCTAAATAGCAAAACCAACATCTGGTGTTATTCTCCACATGACATTTCCAAACTCTGCAGTGTTACTGGCAATAATTATTTTGATTGGTGATGCAGAACATGGCAATGTTTTTATGAGTCTAAAGCAGTAAAAGGATTTTTAGGGGAGGTTACATCAAAAGACTTTTTGTAGTATGGTGAGAATAAATGGGAATGTCACATACAGGTGGCAGGGAAAGATGGTATGTTAGGACATTAGGACATTACAAAACCCATTGCTATTTAAAATTGTGTGTAACCGTTAAAAGTGCTCTATAGTAGCGCAGCAAGCCCAAACTCTTTTGCCTTGTTCCCCCCGTGTGGGACCCCATTCATTTCTCATATTGGAGTGTTTTTCTTGCAGGCTATCACATTGCAATGTCTTCAGGTATGGAGTACTGTGAAGCCGATATTCTGGGAGTTAAAGTTACTGGAGCTACTCTAGGGATTATTGGCATGGGCAGCATCGGATATAAGATTGCTCTGAGAGCCAAAGCGTTTGAAATGAACATTTTGTACCACAACAGGACACGGAGGTAAAGATATGTCTTCACCCTAATTACAGCAGAAAATCCCTTTTAGATAGTCAGTATTTCCTTTTCAAGGAGTTATGTCAGGAATATAGCAAGAAATGAGGGAATAGGGCCAAGATTAAAACAAAAGGGGAAAAAAGAGCAGTTGCGTCAAATCAGTCTTGTAAGGAATTACTTGGTGATTAAACATTTGGAAACATAAATTAAGTTTTATATTAGAAATTCCAAGGTTTCCTGGAGATGTAAACAGAAAAAGGAAAATCAAGCTTATACCTTTTTTGTTCTTATCATATCTTACTATAGTGACACACAACTCTAGCTTTTGTTTATTTTTCCCCCATCTTTCAAAGTTCAGGCATGATCTTGTTGAAACTGGATGACTGGAGAACTAGGAAATGTATACCTTGCTCAATATTAAAACTGATTAACTTGAGAGCTGCTCTTGAGAAAACCTTTTTTCTCTTCAAACCAGTAGGAATTTTGCCAAGTCTTTAACTGGATTTCACCCTTTATTTCTAGCCCCTCCTAACTTGTGTACCTGGGAATATGATCCTTGTTAGAGATGCAGCACAGGGGCTTTTCTAATATAAAGGTGAGCAAGATCCCCATGTACAACTCAAGGCTGTTGCAATCCGGCAAGGTGCAGCCAACGAGCAGAAGAGATTTTTACTGCTATAAGCCACAATCTACCCTGAGAGAACTTTCCTCCTCCCTGACTGAAGGGAGAAGCTGCAGTGCTGGTACATGTGGCTTTCAGTGATTTTCTCCGTAAGCGGACTGAAGAAGGAGGGTGACTGCTCTAGCTAGCCCTAACCAAATTGCAAGGCTGGATGAGGCCAGAAATTTCTAGCCTTGCTTGGCATTCCTGCTACTTCAGAAATTACAAAAACAGCTGAGCAAACTCACATTAAAAAAAGTACTAGTGAACACCCTCCTTAAGATCTTTCAGAATTTCCTCATAAACCACAAAAAAGAGAAAATAAGGCAGAAATCCTTTTCTTTTTTCCTGCGGATCATCACTAACTCCCTCTGTTTAATATTTTTCAGTCTTTAAAGTAATATTTATGCAAGTGCTGTGATGAATAACCAATGCACAGTGCAACAGAAATGAAAAACCTGCTTATTTTAAAGTACGTTTGCACTTCAAGCTTATGTGCTGAAGTGAGGTGCACTCTGCATGCTGCAAAACTGGCTGTAGTTCCAGTCTGTTCTTTACCCACTTAATCTTTGGTTGTTGATCTGGACACTGAACAAAAACAATGAAATGCATGTGTTAGGAGGCACGTGCTCCAAAGTCACACTGACGTTATTTTCTTAGTGTGACTTCTTTCTTTATTTCTAGATTAGGGAGGAGATAATTAAAGCCATTCTCTTGCAATCAGGAGCAGAAGATTGTACACACAATCGCCTATCATTGCTTCTTTAGTTCCTGAAGTTCAGGCAGCTAAATGTACAAAGAACAGGAGAAATGGCAAGTATTCTTTTTTACTGTGAAAAGTTCAAACTAAAAATCTCTCTCTACTTTAGTAACTTTTTGTGTTGAACACTGTATTTTGTGAAAGTCCTGGGGCAGCCGGCAGCCTGCCAAAGAGCTGCCTTGCTGATTCCACTCATCCGAAAATGCCAGGCTGACTGGAGGATGCTGACAGGATGAGGACCACCAGCACGCCCAGAGCTCACACCGATGAGTTCTGGTGAATACCACTGCTCTGGTCGGAGCGATTACTGCATCCTGTGAGGTGCGCTTTCCCCACGGGGGATCCTGGAGGACGGACCGTGTGCTGCCATCGGTGCTGGTGTTACAAATATTTTGATAAGTTAAAATTTTATATAAGCTGGGTTTGATCAAAAGGTAAAGATTGTAGAATATAGGGGTTTGAAGCTCGCAATATAGGCATCAAAACTTAGGAACATACAAAATGTGCTGTATACAGTCATAAGAAAATAAGTATTGTCTGAAATCAGTTAACCACGGAAGCTTTGGCAAAGATTTGTTAGAGGCTAAAGAGGCCGTTATGGACACCAGTTTGTTGCTTGGAAACCCCTTACCCTTCCCACCTCGATCTAATTAACGAGGATTCCAATCAGTAGAGTTAAGTGAGATTAACCAATGATTGTTTTAGTATAAGAATATTGATAAGGTGGTGTGACTGAGGGCCAATCACTAGAAACATTAAATTCAAGAATTAACATTGAATGTACTTTATGTAAATCTAATACATGATGGCGAAAATCGTACTGCGCAGAATCACATGAAAGGTCAACTATCGGACAAAGTGAGGAAGACTATGGAAGACCACCAGAGGGCTTCTGAAGACCACCAGAGACCTTCACTGGGCCTGCGTAAAGGACATTTACATATGATAATAACTTCTCGGAAATCTAATGAATATGTATAACATTTCTTGCAAATCTAATGAATATGTATGAATAAGTTTGATATAAGGCGTATGATTTTGGTGTTCAGGTGTGCGTGGTTGATGAGAGGACTCGCCCGCACACCTGGCTGTCAATAAAGAAGTGTCTGCTTATCTGCACGAAATTGGTGTTGATAAGTTCTTTATTCCGAGTTTTTCGGTAACACTGGTGCTTGGCCTTAGTCCACCTGCAGACTTTAAAAGAAGCCCCTGGACCCTGCGCTGCAGCGGCCGAGAGGCAGGCATGCAATCCATCCCCTGCTGTAGGGCTCGAAGCCTTCCAGAAGGACCCAAACAGCCAGCTGAGACTAACTTCACCTTTGTCTGCCACCTGTTTGCTACGTGAATGTGATACTCAGATCCTTTAGTTTGTATACCAGTGACATCACTGAAGAAAATATTTTCATGACTGATGCCCTGAAATACAGCGTGATGCTTTTTTTTCCCCACCAGGAAAGAGCAAGAGGAGCAAGCTGTCGGCGCCACTTACTGCGAAACGATAGACAGCTTGCTCCAGCGGGCAGATTTTGTGATGGTGGTGGTGAGCCTGACACCTCAGACGCACAAGCTGATCGGGAAAAGAGAGATGGAGCTGATGAAGCCCACGGCTACTCTCATTAACATCAGCCGAGGTACCATCCACAACCGTTGACTGGCCTGACGAGAAAGTACGAGCCAGCTCCCGGTGCGTTACCCGCAGCGCCATGCTGCATCCACTGCACAGCTGGCGCACGCAGCAAGGACAGATCGGGGGTGGCGAAAATTCCCCTCGCTCCCCTTCTGTTCTCTTTCCACTCCCAGAGTGTTACCTGCAAATGGCACTCACTCAGAGACACTCTTATTCCAAACCAGGTGCAGTAGTTGACCAAGAGGCGCTGGTGACAGCTCTGCAGACCGGTGTTATCAGGGCCGCAGCTTTGGATGTCACCTACCCCGAGCCACTGCCCAGGTTTGCCATCTCTGCTTATTTCTCAGAAAGGATGGGTGAGCCCGGCCAGAGGCAGGCAGCATCCCTGCAGCTGGCAGGCATCTGTCAGAGGCATCCTCACCTTCCGCTGGGGTGGAGGTTTGCCTAAAAGTGCCATGAATACGAATGGGATGCAAGCCCAGATGTTGGGTCTGATAACAGGGCAAAGGGAAGCCTGGGCGCCGGGAAACAGCAGGAGGGGACTTGTGTGCCCAGGGGAGCATTAACCCCCCTCCCAGAATCACCATGGGGAGCTGCAGCAGTGCTTTGCTTACAAATTGCTTTACCTGAATGGGTGGAAGCCTTTTGAGTCATCCCTCCCTAGACCTGCTGCATCGCCCCAAGGTGTCCCTCCTCGCAGGCTTGTTTCCCCAGCACAAGGCTGAAGTGCTGCACATCTTTTGGCTACTCAGCTTCTGTAAAAGAACACCTCTTTTACCAGCATGGTGCCTCATGGATTTAGCTGTGCTGGCTGCATTGTGGGTCGGGGGGAGTTTGGTCTTGGTGTGCCAGGACATCACTCTCCATTATCTGACTCTACACACGTAACTACAGCTCAGAGCCTTGTGTAGGGTTAATGTGTCAGGAGGGCTTAATCCTCTCTTCTGACATAGTTCAAATTGCTGCCTAATGGCAAAAGGCTGTTTCCGGACAAAAAAGCACAGTATAAACTCTTCACGTGTCCTTTTAACGTCCAAAATTACTTGAACACAGGTGATCAGGTTCTGTGGATGTAAGTGGGACTTGTAAAGTTATATTAAATTAACTTTCTGTTTAAATGCAGTGCAAAAGCCAAAGTAGGACTCCTCTTTATTTGGATGAACAACAGTAGGTAACTTAACTCTTTTTTCCTTTCTTCCAGAGATCATACGTTGTTAAAATTAAAGAACGTCATTATAACGCCTCACCTAGGCATTAAAACAGACAAGGCCACCTACATGATAACAGAGGAAGCAGTTGAAAACATACTAGCGGCTCTTAATGGTCTCCCCATACCCAGTGAAGTGCTCCCTAGCTGATGGGCAAAAGGATATCACGGCTCTCTTTTTATTCTTCTGTTTCCTCCCATCAGCTCTTAAGGTTTTTATTCTTAGATTTTCTCCATTAAGAGAAACCTGTTCCAAGTGGACATGGAAAGCGCTAGCTTGGTCTCCCATGTCATTAAAACCCAGCTTTTACATTTTAATTTCCTTGCAAATTGGAGGAATACTTTACTTCTCACTTCCAACTGTAGATAGATGCATGCAGGTTTTAAGTGGCTCCGGGAAAAAAAACTTCTGATTGCCAATGCACTTCTTGCTAGGCTCCCTAGTCCTAAAGAAAATGTCATTTTTAGATTACATAATTCACTTTGTTCCCATTCTACTAACTATCAAAAACAATAAAGTAAGCTACCTGGCTAGAAAAATGACTGAGTTTCCATATGGACACCTGCATTTAAACTAGCTCCTGAGACACAAAATGCTGAGGCAAAAGTCAGTTTTCAGAAATGTACTCAGAATCACTTATTTAAAGCAGACTGGATTTTAGAAGACAATTTAAAGTACTAGCACTAGGGAAAATTAGTCTTCAAGATGAACATGCTACTATGTTTGTAATACCAAACTCATGTGCAGTCTACCTCCAGATTTTAGTCTTTGTGCAAATATTTGCAAGAATGGTTGGAGCCCTCTAAGCCTCCAGCACCATCCTGTAAATTAGTGGGAACACAAAAGGCTGTAAAAACACATGCAGCATTAAAATCCAAATCTATACACTTTCCTTTGTATCACTGCTTCTGGACATTTGCAAGAATAATTATATTTGTAACAAGATAAAACAGGGAAGCTTTACAGTAGCTTCACTACTGTAAAGAGAAAGAAAATACTTTGACAAATTGGTTTTGTTACTGCAATTACTATTATGGAAAAAAATCAGAATCCCATGGCTTTCCTCCACTAGAAATAGCACCTATATTACAATTAATCATACCAATTCCACAGGAAAAGGATCTCTTTAAATAGAAGAATGCTCATTCACCTCACTAAGGAATGCTCATTCACTTCACTAAAGCTTTGTGGGAAACAGTTTGCTATCCTCTCAGTTGTCTTTATGTACTCCCTGTTGTCTTAATACAAGTCCAAAAGACAAATAAACCAATACGCAACTCAAAGTGGCAGTGCTATGCCTTTTATTACGTAGTATGAGTTTATGAATAGTACGATTATTTAATCTATCAGCGAAATTTATAGCAAAGTTGCCATTAAGTGCAGCTAAGGTTTTGCCTGTAGTCTTATGCATCTTTACAGAGCCATTTCCTCTTCCTTTTTCTTGCAGAAGGGTGTCACTGGTGCTTGCCAGAAGACACTTCCTTCCACCAGTTTAACATACTATGATGTTACCAGCTCTTGCATCTCAGGGAGTCAAGACGTTGCAGCTTTTTGGGAGCAGCAAGTTGGCTGGCAAGAATTTCAAGACTGTCCCGGGGACCTCCCTGTTCTCTGAGGTCCAGGTGCCCAGTATGCCTTTCATTGTCACCTGTATAACGTTGACAAAAATAAGTTGAGCTTATTCTTTCAAGGTAAAAGGCTAAGCAATAAATTACAGAGCTGAAAACAAAGCTACAAGAAGCTAAAATAGCAGAAGAAACAAACCACCTTTTATTAGATGAATATCCTAAAACTGGAAAAAACACACAAGGTTTTGTACATGCAAACTTTTCTCCAGACGTGAAGCAGCAAACATAAAATCAGTACTTCATTTCACTTCTATGTAAAACAATAGAACATGCTTGGCATTTTCTTGGACTTTTACTTGTACTTTTGCAGATATTTCATGAATTTGTGTGGATTAGTTACAGAAGTGTCCTGCCAGTGGGTGCTTTAGACAGGAAGACACAGCGCTAGACAACAGGATACCTGTCAGTCATTGGAGCCGTGGGTTCACTCGCACACACCTAACAACTTGGCATTCCACAGACTGGAAATGGTCACTTGAAGGACAGCTTCCCAAAATGTCTTCAGGAAGCAGCTACCTCTCTTTTGGCCCTTTGTTTCCTGCCTTTCCTTAATTTATAAATATCCATTGAATAGCACTGAATTAACTGACATACAGTTAAGGAAACCTTCTTGTGCTTACTAGATGCTGTTTCCCATCTCTGCTATTCTACTTAGATTGTGCTTGGAAAACACAATACATCCAATCTTAAGATTACTAAAAATGGATCAAAAAATGCAGTGGCCACATGAGCAAAGAGATGATCTGTTACAGTTCACTCCATTGGTTCAGATTTGTTTGAAACATTTTGATGGGCAAACAGTACACAATCTGGATTATAGTGCTGCTACAGTAGTCTTCTGGGAAAGCTGACCTTACCTACGGCAAGCAGATGGTTAGTGATAACACTTTATGGTGGTTTAGAGTCAGTGAAAACAAATGCATCACTTGGGTTGGCCTTGCCTGAAACAACAAACTCACGAACACAGATTTCCTGCCTCTGCTTTTTTTGTCCTATGAATCCTGGTCACGTATGATATTGCTTTATAACACATAATGTAGACATGGGGAACATATGTCCTTATCCAGTTTCAAGTTTAAGCTACTCTATACATCCCAGCTGGGAAATGTATTACATTACATTATACGAAAGTCTTTTAGGCTAACGCAACACTTCAAAAGTCTAGTCCTAAGAAACAATTATGATGCAAGCGCCTTATTAACACTGCAGGCATCAGCTTGCCCTGCAGCATTACATGGACACCAATGGCAATATTTAATAATGGGAACGAAGTCCACAGGCTGTGCAATACCTCTCTCCTCATACCCACAGACATTAGTAATTTCAGGGAACTTTGTCACAATACTGGCATAATAGATCCCTTTCTACCATAGAAAACCAAAAGCACACTGCAACACTATGTAATTCAGCTTAACACACTACATGGAGGTCTAAAAGGTACTCTGCAAATTAAATCTACTTAGAACATGATTGTGTGCTGGTGCAACACTCTCATCTTGTTTTACCTTAATCAGACTTAGCTTATGGTAACTGTTGTTCGGTTGCTGCCCACACTCTTACTCTGTGACATTCTGTGTCCTACTAATTCGAACAGCTCGTCAATCACTCAAAATATAAATGGTTTCCTGACCTCTTCTGCACGTATGTTGCTATACAGATATATCTCCTATAGAGGTATATATCAGCTCCTGAACCATAACTTGAAAATCAGATGTTCAAGTTACACAAAAAAACTTTGAAGCCACCTGATTCTCTCCACATCTAACCACATAACACACCCATTTTCTTGACATTTGGTATGTATATCCTGGATTTTTGCTTGAAAAAGAGTAACATTCCTTTGACTATTATTTTTTTGACTCCTCTGACTAATTGCTCCTTCATTTTGTTCATTCGAATTTGTTGATTTGATATGCAAAGGGAAAAACTACCGTATTTTCCTTCCAAAGTTTTTTTTTTTTTACCTTCACTACTAAAATGTGGTGGACCTCCTTCCTCAGTTCATAGCGAGGCAGAATGACTTGTGTCTTTGAGAGGGGCTTTACAATGGTCCTTTGATCTCAGGTATTGTAATGTAAGCAGTAAGTTAAAAGATCACCCATTATTGTCTTATCAGCAAACTTGGAAGCAGTTGATGTGAAACAGGGAATGCGTAAGCATTTTAGGGTTTGTTGCTTTCTTTTGAAAGAAGAAAATTCAAGTAGACTTAACTAAGAATCCAGCTAATATGCCATAACTCCATCTTGCTAGTTAATGAATTTTTGCTTTAAAGTTTAACTGTCTGAACTTGAAATCCATGTAAGCAAATGATACTCAGAAATCATCACCAGGATAATAAGAACTATTTACGGTTTTGTGTAATCATTACAACATTTTACTATACTTTACCTTTTCATTAGTCATTTTATAGAGGATTCGGTGTTAAACTTGACTGCCTTAAGTGTTCAGCATAGCAAAATGCGTTTGGTAGAATTGAAGACGACACGATTTTGTAACCCATTCTTTTGCAAGGCGCTACGGTAGTCAGGCAAGACCCAGCAGTTCCCATTTGCTGGTTATTCCGTAGGGTGGAAGGAGAGAGATGCCCGGTGCCCACAGCAGCGGTGTTCCCCAGCTCCCGAGCTGTTCTTGCCACAGCAGCCAGGCACCTTCTCCAGCATTCTGCTGGCCACTTGCCCAGCAAAGGGGACTGCTCCAGCACAGCTTGAGTGAGCAGAGTACTGAAGCTGTACTCCGTGCCCTCCATCACCAGGGATTCACAGTCCCAAGTAACCTCGTCAGGAAAATTTTCACGTGTTTCTCAGCTGGGATAGGCCCAGGAATGGCTGTAGCTGGGCTAACAGCCGCAGGGAGTGAGCACCTGAGCCTGCCCCAGTGGCTTAGCTCTCGAAGAGAGGTTTTGAGGGTATTCTTAGAATCCTTTAGGTAAGAAAAAGACACTTGGTGCGTGCAATGAGATCTGTCAGTGGTGCCTGCCGGTCGGAGGGTCAGAGGCAACGCTTCGTGCCATGTTAATGTACGTGCAAATAGTGCAATGACCAACAGAGAGGCCAGACCGTAGCTGGTATTCAAGACAGGATAGAAAAAAACGGTGTGCTTGATGTTAATGCAAAATCCCAATTATTTTCAAATTACTACCAGCTCAGAAACACAGTACATTTAAAAAAAAAAAAACACAACTATTTGTGAACACCTGTTGCTCTCTCCTGGCTCCCCTGAGGGGGTTGGGGGTCCCGGGGTCTCCGTGCCCCTGGCTGGGAGCGGGAGCCAGAGCCAGAGCCAGAGCCGGAGGCGATCTCTCCCGTTCCCTGCCCTCCTTCACAGCCAGCCCAGCTCCCTCCCATCCGTAAGTCCCACCCGCAGAGAACTGCAAACGCCTTCAGAAAGGGCTGGAAAAGCAGACAGCACACCGCGCTCCGGCGGCTGGAGATCTGGGCAGGGAGGACAGACGGACTCCGGTCCTGTGGAGCAGGCGGTGCGAGAGCACTGGGGCCTTGTTCCAGCAGCCCTGGAGCTGGGGAT